AAATATGGCTTGATACTTTTCTAATACAGCCATTAATTCCTCAGGCAATTCCTCAGTGGTTGCAGTGTACAAATATCCTGCATCCATCCTTCTTTCTGTATCTCTCAATCTTCTTCTGTCTTCCTATAGTTCTCTCCTTTCTAATTCTCTTTGCCACATTTCCCTTTTTCTCTTATGGTACTCAGCATTTTCCATGACTGCTTCAATTCTCCTGTGAGCTTCATATGCTTCCCCTTGCAAGGAAAACCTTTCTCCTTTCCTGTTTAGCTGGATTGTGAAGCGATCATAGTAAACAATGATGGGACTGAACTTAGATAACCAGTCAGTTCCCAAAATCATATTCCATTCTCCCAGGTCAATGAACTTGAGATCAAACCTGAAATCATACTGTTGTATGGACCAGACAACATCAGGACATAGTTGGTCATCTCTAATCATGTGTCCTTCTGCCACAGTTATCACAAATGGCCTGACAGTTCTAGTATGAATTCTTAGCCTCCTTACCAACCTTTCATCCATAAAGCTTCTGGAGGCTCCAATATCAATCAAAATTTTAATCAGGACACTGTTGATGAAGCCTATGATCACAATGATTTTTCTGTCTTCATCTTCCACAACCCAATAATCATCCATCTGTGTAATCGTTTGGATGTGATCTTCAAGGATTGCCACTATGTTACCAGCATCAATAGCTTCAGTCTCAATGATATTCAAGTCCCCCAAAATTTTCATCATCCTCAGCCACAATCACATTGGGCTGTGTGGCTTTACAGATGTGTCCAGGCCCCCATTTGTCTCCACATTACCAACAGAGTTGGGTATTCCTTCTGTATTGGATCTCTTGAGGTGACAGCCTCTTGAAGGTCTTATTTCTAGCATTTCGGTTGGCTACATTTCTGATGACATGGGGATTTCTGACTGGAGGCTGATAGGGTTTGTTTGCTCCTGATGATATCACTTTGTTTTTACAATTAATTATAGATAAAGTACCAAAAAGTAGCTCCTTATCTTCGTTTGATACCAAATGTTTAAAAATAGACCACGCGCCACTAGAAAGTTAAAGAGTGTCACCAATCGATTTTCTGTTAGGGATCTGTCCAAAAATTAACGGTCAACTTATTTTTCGCATGAAAGGCACGTGTGTTGACCAAAGGGTAATTTTGACTTTTCAAAAATAAAATAAAATTTCAAAAAAATTAAAAAAATATTATTATTAAAACATTAATTTAATGTTTCCAGTTTTTCTTTTTTAAATAACACCTCTCCCACCCTACTGATATATGTGAGGTTTTTTCATTTATAATTATACTATTTTTCAATCAGATACATGTGACATTGTTTCATCTTAACCACCACCTGTATTATCCCACGCCGCCCACCACCACCACCCCCCGCCACCTGCCACGATACCCTTCCAGATTCAGGATCTATTTGAGAAAAATGATTCGTGGCTTCTATAGATCCATGTAAGGTCATTTTTTTGGTACTAATTCCGTCGATTTTTGGTGTATTATTGAGCTATATTCAATGCGTTGACCGTGAAAAACTCCGACGATGATTTTGTTTGGTCAAGGCACTATTTGTCCCATTACCGGTGTTAAATCAACTACAGAAAACAATAAAATTTTGAGATCTCGTCGAGGCGAAGAATTCAGTGTACTTTTTGTTGAATTTGGTGGGCCGTAGGGTGAGACCGATCTTTGGCGTTGACGGTGGCGACGGATCCCGGTGGCTGGGAATTGCGACGATGATGCGTGATGGAAGAAAGGGTGGCGGAAAGGCCAGAGGAAAAGACGTTGGCGGGAAGAATCCAAACTCCGCGTTGGAGGAAAGGCCATAGCAATAGGCTGGAATCAAACAAGATTGACGCAAGTTGGAGGAATCCAAACTCTGTGTTTAATTTAGTGGTTGATAAAAATTTCAAGAGTAGAGGCCAAATTTTTGTGAAATCCGGCTTTCTGAAATTCAGTTCACAACCGAACAATAATTGAGGTGGAGCTCATTTTGAGTTGGGATGAATTGATGTGATTTTGTTTTGGGTTTCTGGGTTAATGTTTTTCTGGGTTTTTATATTTTTTTTTCAATTCTGTAGAAGTAGATGAGATGATGGTGATGAAGTTACGAGATTTATGGTGGTGATGAAGAACACCAGAGAGAGAAGAAAAAAGGGGTTTTTTGAGTAAGTAAAGAAAAAAGAAGAGAGATGAATTTTGGAAATTAAAGTCCTTTTGTTTTTTCAACAAAAATCTAATGTCTTAAATTAGAAGTGTTGGATTAAATTTAATGTTTCAATAATTATATTTTTTTAAACATATTTTATTTTATTTTTAAAATTTAATTAAATTCTAAATTAAAGAGTAAAAGACAAAAATACCCTTTGTCAACATAATTGCCTCTCAAGTGAAAAAGGCGTTGACTGTTATTTTTTTTAACGGAATCCTAACAGAAACTTGATTGAGAACACTTTTCAAATTTTCTGATGGCATATGGTAACCAAAAAATTTTATGGTACCAAATGAAGACGACGAGCGACTTTTTGGTACTTTATCTGTAATTAATTGTTGTTTTTAAGAGCAACTTTCAACGTTTGCTCTTGAACAGTGGCGATTTCAAAGGCTTTGAGCAATGATGGAGGCTCCAACAGTCTCACCATAGGTTTCAATTCTTCCTTGAGACCACTAATGAAGCTAGAAATGAAGTATTTTTCAGTCAAATGAGGGTCTTTACAGAGAACTAAGGATTTGAGTTCTTCAAATTTCTCATGATAATCTAACACCGATCCTTTCTGTTAATGTTTGTTGAACCCTTCTATATCATTCTTATCCCCTTTTCACCAAATCTCTTAATCAGTTCTACTTCAAAATCTTCCCAAGAAACTTTCATCTTAAACCTTTTAAGACTTTGATACCACTTTTCCACCTAGCCATCTAAGTAAAGCTCTACAGCATCTAACTTTCTTTCATCCAATATTTTATATATGCTGAAAAATTTCTCACACTTTCTCAACTAGTCTCTAGGGTTTTCACCATCAAAGTTTGGTAACTCTAATCTAGGTTGTAAAAGCAATAAACTTTTTTTAGATCAACCAAACCCTGATTTCCTTGAAGTTTCATCTTCTTCAAGATTTATCCTGTTAAACTTAGAGGGTGTTGGCAAAATACCTGCGGATGAAGAAGCTACATTAGCCTTTCCCATCGTTGGAGTCTCAGATCTAGACCCTTTTTGCTCATTCATCATTTGTAAGATCTCGTTCAACTGTGCAGGCATCAATTGAGACTGAGAAGCTTGTTTCTCCAGTTTAGCATCCAACAGGCTTCCCCGGTTGTTGATTTTCTCATCAATCTGCTTTTTCTATTCGCCAATTTCCAGGAGCTGGATGTCGTGTCGCTTTATGTGTTCTTCCAAGGCCTGTGTGGTCTTGGCTCTCATTTCAGTCATGCCTAATACGTTTTGTTCAAAGAAAAGACTTTACCTTTTTCTCACAGCTGGCTATAAACAATTTCCTCAGGCCAAGGGACCGCTAGCTCTGATACCAAATGTAATGGTTTAGATAATTTAATTAACGGTATTTCTATATTAAGGAAAACCGGAATTCAAAGAAGGAAAGCAGAAAAGAAAGTTTCAGAAAAGAGGAAAGAAAGAGAAGGAAAGAGAGATAAGTTTTCAGAAGGTGACGAAAGAAAATGATAAAGAGGAATCTTCATTCATGTTTTTGCATAACCAATACATCTGATTTCCCTTTTCTTATATCAATCCCGCTAACTACGATTAACCCTAACCATGATTAGCTACAAACGCTCCCAAAAGATGACAAAATAACAACTATTTTCCGGAAACTTCATCTCCAAGGTAGCGTGCATGGCAGATGATTTGATCGCCTGATCAAAACGACACTACTACTGAAATTATTCTAGAACATTGATTAATTAATTAAAATCTGATATAATTAAAATTAAGCATTCCATGACATGAGACCACCTTATGATTGTTCATCAACTTGCCGACATCGTTTATGGTTCCTTATTCCCTTTTTCCATCACAATTTAATAGTTCAATTAAAATGAAATATAAACTATTTGATAACTTAAATTATTACTTAAATTATTGGTTTAAGTTAGTTTTAGAATAAGCACGTTTGATAATCAAAAAGTGGTTCACTTATTTGATTAAGCACTGCTGAAACTTCAGTACAAATTTTAAGCAGTAAAATTTAGCTTAATGATTATTGCTTATTACTCTCATCCATCTTTTTTTTAAATTCTTTATTATTGAATTCCAACATTACCCATGAATATTTTATTATTCAATACACTAATTAAATATTCTTTACATATTTTATTGGTTTATTTTCATTAAATAAAGTCTCGTTGTTTTAATCCGTAAAAATCTTAATTATTTCATACATATGTGTTTGATTTTTTCTCTTTTACTTTATTTTCAAAGATATGAAAATTTAATACTTTATAATTTGGCTCATTCATTTTATTTAGAAAAATGCCATACGCATTTTTGTTTGCCATTTTACAATATATAATAATTTTATAGTATGTATTTTATGAATAATGAACATAATTACTGCATATTTAGGGGAAAAAATATTTTACAATAAAGGAATTTTAAAAAATTATAAAAAGGATAAATTGGTAAAATTCACACAATTTAGCATTCATATCGATATTTTTATCAAACAAGAATAGTTCATTAAGCATTTTGTTTCAGAGTTAACTATTCAGCATTTCTATTTCAGCATGAAGTATTCAGAATTAAGCACTAATTTTTATCAAACAGGCCCATTTGCCCCGTCTTTAAAAAAAGTTTACATTAAAACAGAAGTATTAATGTTTTACTAATTAATGGGTATTAGAAATTATATCAAAGTTTCGGGAGGATACCCAGACTCCAAAAGTTTCCAGTGAACTTCAAAAGAGATTGATGTAATCAAATCATTCAGGAATAAACACTAAAAAAGGGTACTAAAACAGACTATCCAGAATTGGTTGCTATGGAGTGTTCCTTAATCTATCTAAAACATCTCTAAGGATGCAAGTAATTGTAGCAAAAGATGGTCTCATTTCAGCATCTTCATCCCATGAATGTTGTACAAGTTCTATCACATCTTTCAGGTTGTCCTGCTCTTCATGTCTTAAAATTGCTGGTCTTAGCCCATTTGTAGCCACTTCAATGGCTATCTGTGTTTTTAAGTTAATCATTGAAAAACAAACCAGGAAATGAATTAGCTTAGGCAAGTATATCTGACCAACTAGTCCATAAGAGTGATTATTAAACTGTAAACTATACTCTTTGTGTAGTTCAAAATATGAAACTCTATTTTTTGGAGAGGAAGAACTATTATGTACCTTGGATGGACCGTAATCAGTTTCAATGTAAGGATGTTCACCAGTTATTAACTCATTGAGTATGACACCAAAACTATATACGTCACTCTTCTCGTCATAAGGTCCACATCGAATTACCTCTGGTGCCATATACACGAAAGTACCTGTCAAATGATCAAGTTCAATTTTTATTAATTAGTAAATGACAATATACTAATCGTAATGCTATTAATTAGTTTACATTGTTGAACTAAAATAGTACATAAATTGGACTATTGCAATTGGATGAAAGGGAGTATGTGTTGGGGGGGGGGAGGAGAAAGGAAAAGAAGCAATATAACTTAAACTATCAGAGTGTCAGTTGCTTATGAGTGATTTGTACCATACCACATCAATACCTCACTATGAGAATAGCTATAAGCCTCTAACAAAAACTCTTTTTTTTTTTTTGGGCTTACCTGTTTCTCCTGTTAGTGCTTTTTCATCATCAAACAAAAATCGAGCGTGGCCAAAATCTGCAACCCTTATATGCATGTCGCGGTCCAAGAAAATGTTACTAGGCTTCAAATCACGATGAATGACCTTAGCCGGTCTCTGTTCATGGAGGTACTGCATCGCTTGAGCGATCTCTAACGCCTTTTCTAACCTCTGTTGGATTGGAGGAAGAGGATGTAACCTCTCTTTTCGCCTATTCTCTGGCCCGTGAAGCCAAGTTTTGAGTGTTGTGCTTAAGAATTCAGTCACAATCCATCCATGATTTGGAGGTTCTAAGCAAGCCCCCATGAGTTGCAACACAAAAGGATGACGTTGTCTAGAGAGGAGTTCAACTTCTTGGGTAAAGAAACCAATCATGTGTTCATTTGATTCAAATAAGTGTCTGAATATGCATTTCACAGCTACATCAAATCCTCTCCACCTTCCTCTGTAAACATCTGCTGTTGTTCCTTTAGCTGCAATTTCTTGCAATTCAATCTGATTGGAAACCATGCGAACAAGTATTTCAAATTAAATTGATTAGAAATATTGAAAGAAGAGACTTAGTGACAACTTTTGTCTCTAGTAATTTACCATTATTCTAAATGTTAATACTTCCAAAAAAAAAAAAGAAGAAAAAGGTACCATTAGCCTAGATTTACTCAACATCAAATTGCATGTGTTTACATCAATAGTCAATTGTCCATTATTATTCGAATCAATTTTTCTATTTGTCTCAAAAAAATGGTGTTGATGACAAACTTTGAATATGTGATGACCAAAGTACTAGATTATACATGTTTGTAGTCTTTAGATTACTACAAAAGTTGAGGTTATGAGGACTAAATTAGCCAAACTAAAAATTGCCAAAATAATATCAAACTAATGTCAAATTCTAATGAAAAGACACAAAATGGAATAAATAAAAGTGAAAAGGAGAAAAAGGTATAATTACCTCATGGGGATCAATGTACCATCCAAAGATCTTCGCTTGATGAATAAGGGCTTCAAGACTTGAATAAGGGTATGATTCAATAGTGGAACATTCCTCAGGAATGGAGTGAGTAGTGCTAAATGGGTAAGCAGAATTTGGTGGCGGAAGAAGCGATTGAATTATTTCCGGTTGCTGTGTTGTGTCTTTGTTGTTGTTATTGCCAGTTATGATGTCCAAGAATCCATGTCTTTGTGCTACTTGAAGACACTTCTTCAGGTAATCTTGCATTGTTTCCAGTTTGGTCTTGTACATTGTCCTTGCTTCTCTTTGCTTTTGGAGTTCTGACTCTATTTCGGCCAACTTCATTCATTTGTTTTGCGAAAAATTGCAACTTCAAAGTTAGTAGTCACAAACACCCCAGTTTGGAACTATAGGAATAAAAAATACAGTTTACACTTTATAACCATTTTGGAATGCAAGTAATTCATTTTAACCATCTAACAAACTAAATGAATATACCTCTGACCAAAAATAAAATCATTTGCATAAGTTTTGAGATTTTACTAGAAATACTATTACAAATTTCAAACCTCAATTGGAATCATTTTTTTTTTTTTTGGAATAGATGAAATAATACGTAATTTCGATTCTAAGTAACTTGACTATAATCTTTATGATTAGAAGGATAGGGTCATGAGTCATGGGGAGATCGAAAATTGTGCTCATATACTGTTCATTGTGTGTCTCGATTCTATGAATCAGAAAGATGATGAAAATAGAAAGGGAGCAACAAGGGGCGGGAGTGGTGGAGAAGAGTAGTAGTAGTAGTAGTGCTGGGGGATTCTTTTGGGCTGAAATGAAGTCCCACATCGACCGCACGCACAAGTTAGGCAGGAGCTAAAGGCTACAAAATGAGACCAACTGACTCTGAATTTAAGCACGCAGCCATGCGGTGAGTACAGAGCGGACTATTCTTTCGCCTTTTACTAAAGAATACCGTGTACTCGCCGCAAATAGTGGCACACGCCAATTTTTGGAGGGATCAGCCCTGAAAGGTGGTCCTGCAATTCTGAGTTTAAATTTTAATAATAAAAGATAAATTCAGTTTATACCGTACTCTATTGATTATGTAAACAAATTGTATTTCTTGTATGTATTACAATATTTCAAATTTCTTCCATTATGTTGATAATCTTATTTATACGTTTAATTAATTAATTTTTTATTATTATTTCAATAATAATATAATTTTTGTTTTAAGAAACAAACTGTTTTTGGAGACAAATAGAGTAGTACCGTTCTATTGAGATTTGGGATAGTGTGATTGACGATGATTAATGGGCTTTCGTTGACCAAGTTTAGAATAGACTGTGAAGGCCCATTTATGACTATGAACCAACATCCGGTATGAAATGACCCTCCATGATGACGAGGAAGAAATTTTCTTTAATTCTTTTTACCCCACCTTTTAAGTACAAAAATGTAATTTCATGCCATTTTATAAGTGATTATCACCGGAACTTCCAAAAAAAACTTTAGATTAGAATACATGCACATCCGAAAACATAATGACTTGCGACGGTATTTTATAACTACAAATATTTATTCTCTGTTTCATGTTTTATAATGATATATTCAGATCGGATGAGGAATCGCATAGCCACATGGGATATAGGGGAATATTCCTTAAAAAAATGATATTCAAAAAATATAAAATTGAAATAATATTCCTCTATAATGTAAAATGATAGATTGACAACTTTCCAATTACACTGTCTCACTGGACTAATCTTAATTTCCCGTATTTATGAATACAATAATAGCGTATTGTGACGTACTTCCTTTTGTCCTATAATTATTGTCTTATTTCGATTTTCATTTCTAATTCAAATTGTACTGAAAGTGAAATATCAAATTGGACAATAATTTTGGGACAGAGGGAGTATTTCATCTTCATCCTACAACATATGTTTCGCGATGAAATATAGTAAAAGTTGCAGTAAGTGAGATTCATATGTTTCGTAGTATTAAATTAAAACTTATAAAAACAAATAAGATAACCAGTGTGAGAAGGAAGAAGTAATACTTTATGTTTATACTATTGTGATTCACTCACACCTTTACTAAAGAGGTGTTCTGAAAATTATCTTCCGTAACCAACAATTAAGACAATTAGAGTGTTTAATTATCAGAAATACCAAGTTCATAGAAAACAAAAGAAAAAGGGGAAAAGAAAAAGAAAAAAGAAAGACATCATATCAATCGCTTTACAATAAAATGGTTAATGATCCCTACTAATTAAGTAGTAATTATCAATTCACAATTAAAATCAAGACAAACATACCTGCTTTTGCAACTGCGACATCGCAGTTGGGTTTCTGTAATCATTATGAGAAACGGTGGAACACTTAAACATCAAAGACTTGAATCTTTCACAAAAACTCAAACAATAGTTTCTGTTCTTCTTTTTCTTCTTCTTGTTGGCAATTTGAGGACTCACAATCCCAAAGTTATTAATCATCAGGACAGGAACTTACCTTGGGATTTTATTAAAGCTTTCCCTTTCTAGGGTGCAATCTTTAGTTTTTAACAATCTAACTTGCAAGCCTTAATGATATCGAATATTGGAACTCTCACAATCTATTTCTTGTCTTAAGGGCGATTTCCACAATTATATATATGCAAGACAGTCATTAGTTTGGACTTTGGTGTTAATTTGGTTCAGTTTTTCTTTTACAATGTGACAAAATGCGATGTTTCTGATTTGCCAGCCGGTCAAAATCGAATTTTGATAATAGAACAGTGGGGGATACTAACAATTTACTAAGGTACATATACAAGGTGGCAAAAAAAATAAAGATGAGTTTTGAATTTATTGCTGCCGAATGGATATATATATATATATATATATATATATGTAGCTTTGTGAATGGAGTATAAAAGTTTGGTTTATTGAACTGAAGAAAAAGTAAAATGCGATTGGAATCTATTTTCATAAGATGAAGAATACAAAGAAGTAGAAGGCAATCAAATTATAAATATAGTTTGGGTATTTTTGGTTTCCTCACTTATGGAGTTACTAGTCCTATCACTGTCGCGCGTTACGCAACCAGTGCTTCTTAAGTTTTTTTTTAATATATTTTTTTCGTCTTTAAAAAAAAAGTATGTTATGGTTAAAGTTTAAAAAAAAAAAATACAAGAATTGCATAATATTACTTTAATACATCAAAATGTAATAAAGAGGTACCTTCTACACACAAAAAGAAAAAGAAAAAAAAATGGATGTAATTTGTTACATTGAAACTCTAAAAAATAGTCCATGAATTCTTCTCCAATTTCCTGTCTGTTCATAGATTCATACTGACAATTCAAAATCAAAGACAAGAGAAAGTCATGTACATGTTACAATTTTAGTTGCTCTGGAAGTTGCTTTTTCAATTCTTTCGGGGTGCTGAAAGCATCCTCCTCTCTGTGCTTGTGCGCTTGAGTATGCAAGCGTTATAGCATTTCATTTAAGGATTTCAGAAGCCATAAACAATGACGGCAAATTTTCAATGTGAAATACTCGTTGATCAGTCTTTGCAGACCAATCTGTCTACAGCAGCATCATGGTCATACTTGGGGAGGTTCTATATGACAATAGAACAATGCAGCTGGATACATACACCTCTTATGTATGAAGTTGATTGAGATATTCGCAAATAATAATTTGGAAAAAAAATAAGAAGCTAATTTATGGAGTCAATGTTTCCATTGTGTATAAGTTGTAGTTTTATCTCTGGTTACCATTGAGATGTTTCAACCTGTAGTTTGTCAGCTTCATGAATCGGTTGAATTTGCAGTAGCTGTTGTAGTAAACAGGCCATTACGAAACTGGTACAAGGCCACATTTTTCTGAATGTACTCTGTAAATTGAACCCTATATGACCAACACAAGCATTAACTGTGTCGTTTAAGGCAAATTCAGAATCTTAGTTGCAATCACCTAGTTAATTTGCAGCAGCAAATTCTAAAATAAAGCCTTTCTAGAGGTTTTATTTAAGAGAATGCAGTGTCGTGACCTGAAAATGTAATTCCCATTCTAGGTTACAAGTAAAAAGCATTGGCGTATTTCACCATGTGAATCCCAAATTTCAAATAAATCCCTGAGCTAATACATATTCACATTATCATATTCCAAATGTGACCAGTAGAACACAGAGCATGAAAGCAATAATAACACAGGGGCTTTGAAAATCAAATCACACGATTGACAGAGACGAATTGTAGGCAAGTTCCAGTGGAAGTGCTTTGTTGAGGTAATTGTAGCGCGAATCTTACACTTCTAGCTCTTTTGACCTTGTAATATCTTCAGGTATGATACTGTAATTATTTTGTAAAATCCATCCAAAAATGCTATATTATTATTATTTTTTTAATTTCCAGAAACAAGAAATACCAGAAAAGTATGTACATGATATCATAAAGCAGAGTGCAAAATAAACTAATTAAAACACTAACAAAGAGACTCCATGCAGCAAATATCTCCTTTAAGAGACTCCATGCAACAAATGGAAAGCAACTATATGCACAAATGATCCAAAAGAAAAAATAAGTGTAGCCTAATAGAATTCCAGATGTTACGAAATCAAGTTCTCGAAAAAATTACTTGCACGGAAAATTAATATGCTTTAACTCCTAACTACCATAAGCATCAGAAAATTAGTTTTTAACAAACAAAATAATGGCAGGTAATTCATAAAATTCATAGTACCTGAATCGTGCAAACGATGTAGAAAAAATTTGTAACGTAAATCCATCTATTGCGGCCTCGGTCTCGTAAGCTAGCCGAAACTGCAATCGGTTGTAGATCCATCAATTCCTGCATGTCCTCCTAAGTTGGTTTTTTTCTTCACCTTCAGTAGAAGTGGTGACCAGACAACCAATTTTTTTCTTCAGTTTCAGAGGAGGTGCTGGCCGGAAAGGCGATGCCGCTTTCTTGGCTTACTTAATTACTTAATTTTGATGGTCAACTTGTGCTCCGGCATAGCAATCAGTCTAAGAAACAAATTATAGTCATCTATGTTGCTTTATATTATAGTCCAATTAAGCTATAGAGAAGAAAACAATATTAGAAAAGAGGATTGAAGAATTTAGCACCAGCCCCCTGGAGCAGCAGCTCTTTCAATGTGGGTAATACCCACCATGAAAGGTTTAGCAGCTTCCTTAGTAACGCCATATGTTGAGACAGATGAAACTTTAGTTCTGTAGAAAAAAAATCATCAAAATCAAAAATTTCAACACCCCATTGGCTAATTTGGAGCTGCTAAATGCTAAAATCCCATTAACTTGTTTTCTTCCCACAAATCTTGGGTTGGGGGAGGGGGTTTGGAGAAAATGAAATAAAACTGAAGTTTTCATGTCAATTACTGAGGATGAGCAACAATTGCTAGAGGGTGAAGAATGAGTTTCAACATCGCCAAAGTCGATTCCTATAAAGCGGACACCGCCAATTTGTTAATGCAATCCGAATTCGCAGGAAACGTGCCGGGATCGAACGAATTTGATGCCGACCTGAATCGATGATGATGAGGAGACGGGGAAAAGAGCAAATTGTTGAGTTTGTATAACATGAACTAAAAAAAAAATTTACGCTAAACAATTATTTCAAGCAGGTGAAGTACAATTTTAGTTAAAGAACATGACTCTTATAATTTTTTGGTAAAAAAAAAAATGACTCTGTTACTTGTTGGACGAATAATATTTTGTTTACATGCCTAAATATTATAGATAGGGCCATTTCCGTGATACCATAATGGTCATGATGAAATATGAGGATTTCAGTAAGCTGTACTTCGGTGGAGGGGTGTTTATATATATATATATATATATATATATATATATATATATATATCCCATAACTTGGATATGAAAGTTGGCCGTTCGCCGGAAGTAATTATCAGAATCCTTCAAGAAGATCGAAATATCGGATGCATTCCTTTTTCATCCTTTCGGACTAGGCAGGAGAAAATGGTTTATTTCGGAGAAATGTATACTATTTTCTAATTTATGAAAGAGTAATGATATTCTTTTTTACAAATATAACTCTACTCATAACTCTACTTACATGTCTATTACCTTCCTAATTATTATTTTTCTTATTTATTTATAAAAATATTTAAAAGAAATTTATCCTTTTTTTTTCTTTGTTTCTTTTCTTTTATTTTTCCTTTCACCATCACTAGTAGAAAATTGTCTTCAGGACCCCATAGTAACAACGAATAATGTACTAAAAATAAAGAACAGGGAAACCAGAGAATCCATGATTTCAAATCTTTTACTTGTAGTTTTAAAAATAAAGATACTAGTACTAGAAGAAAATGAACTAATTTGAAAGGTTAATTCTGAGAATTATCCAGCCCAAAAAATCAAATTAATTGAAGCGACGCCTAATAAACTTGTGCGTCTTGGATATGTTTTTATTAGTTTTGATCATGAATCAAATCTTGCCATGGTTTGGGGCTCTTTGTCCAATTTCCTATCCGGATGGTCTTTGTTTCCGGTGGTGTGATGAATAATATTGACCAGAAAAACACTCAAATAATTAACTCCGGCAACTGTAATAACAAAGAGTTAGCCAAACTGTTCATATTTTCAGGCAACTCTTTGTTGTAAAACTCCAACTGACCAATGACGTTAAACGCCTCCGCAAAACCCATGAGAATCAACTGAGGAGAAAGGCTCAGAAATTAACCTATAATTTGACAAAATTTTATGAGGTAGATGGTGGCCAAGAAATTCTTTTTCAATTAGGGAAGGGGAATCTGAATTTCATTTTCCTTCTTTTTTGTTGAGGGTTCTGCGTAGCACTGATGAAAAGGGGGAAAAAAAAGGAGTGAAAAGAAAAAAAAAATAGGTTTAATTTTTTAGTAAAAAAGAAAAAATAATAAATAAATATATGGAATACCAACTAGATAGACGTGTATGTAGAGTTATACTTATAGAGAAAAATATCATTACTCTTTATGAAAAGGTTTGTTAAGAGTACTCTTTTTTTTTCTTTTCTTTTATGGGTTGTTCAGATCATTGTGCAAGAAGCATTTTCATTTTATATAGTGTGAATTGGAAATTACTTCGAATTTTCTGTTACCCGCGTCCGACCCAAAAAAATTGAAGAAAAATAATCCAAAGTATAATTAGGTTTGTTTAGTTAAACTCTCTACTCTCCTCTGAGTCTTAATTATAAGATATAAATTTAAACTAATTGTGGTGTTAAGTAATTTGTGCCTTATTGTCTAGAGAGGAGTACGATATAGTTATGATGAAACTGGAAGACATTCTACTAGTGTTTCTCGTGTTGTGTCCTGCCAAATTAGCACTACCTGTTTGCAGAACTAAATATTATTAATTTAAAGATAATTAAAATATATCAAGATTTGAAGTAGAGCACAATTAACTCCAATTATAACATGAAAGATAATTAAGAACCAGTGCTATAAAGACAAATTAATGTTGGGTTCTATAACAAATGTTGGTTAATTTGCTCGTATGCTAGAAATGGGCGTTTGAGTTGAAATTCATTTTAGTTTATAAAACTTCAAAAGGTTCCTTTTGTTTGTCGATGTAGGTAACTAACAATTTTTTCTCCATTGTTTCTAAAATAATTATCATGTTTACTGTATTAAATAATTGTGTTAAGACGATTTGTCTCTTATTTGTATTAAGTAATTATCATCTTTAGGCCGGCTTCTTCTGCTCCCAAAAAGACAATGGGAATCATGCACAAGATTCCTAACTTAGCCATGTGATGTCTCTCGATCTCTATGCATGTTAAATACATCCAAAATCGAGTAACTCGAAAATGTTTAATTCAATTCTTAAACAAAAGAGTAACTGCAAATCGGCAATAAATAAATCTCACCTTACGTTTTGCATTTTTCCCCCTTCTTTACCAGGTGTGAAACTCCAAATTAAGATTTGAACTTAAAATTTCGAGAATACAATTTGTCACATTTATTCTCCAATAACATAAAAACGGTCTCAATACATTTTGAAAAATTTTAAATGAAAGACATACCGGAAATGATGTGAATAAAATCCCGACAGTCCATTTTACAATCACGTGAGTTAAAAGTGAAATGTATAGTTAGAGATTTATCCGCACAATTCCGTTAAGTTTCATAACGTACTACACAAAGAAGGTTCAAGCAGACACACCTTCATGTTTAAAAACACTCAACCTGATTTATAACTTCAAAGAATGAAAGGCTGCAAGGCAGAGGTTCCGTCAAGCCCTGTGCCATAAAAGTGATCAAAGAATTCCTTCATTGTGGTGGCTCTATATTTAGGAGGATTATCTTCTGATAACAGTTCCTGAATTGGTTGAATTGCGACTGTTGAATTATGAGCAGCGCTGAAGAAACAAGGGACGGATGTTCTCGGACCAGTTTGCTTTGCGAGTACCCTATGTTCAGCGCTCTTGTACTTGTCATTGGATACAAGCTGAAATATAATTCAATGAGGCAAACCCAAACTCAGCATTTACTTTAACTAATTTTTCACCAGACCATTAAATCATTCAGCTACCAATAACATTTCTCTAATTACTACCTCTACTTTTATCTGTTATCTAGAACAGATTCAAACTGTTTCCTTTTATCTGTTGCGTTGAATTCCTAATTAATACAGTATTAACTACGTTTCTTTCTTATAAATTTCAACTTTATATTTTTTTACTTTTAATCATTTATATTAAGGACAACTGTTTACTTTTTTATTTTGATCATTTTATTTTCCTATATTTTACACAATCAATAAAGGGCAAGAAAAAGTAAACACATAAATTAAGTTTGCTATCCTTATTTTATTCATTCTTGTGCATACTCCAACACGACAAGTACATAAAAAAAAATAAATAAATAAAAGAAAGTGGATGTATGTAGTAATAATGGTTGCATGATGAAAAATTGACAAAGGGAAAAACAAAAAGGTCAAATATTGCATGTAGTTGAAAAGGAGAAAATGAAAGAATAAAAATTCTAGGGTTTACTGAACATTGCCTGTAGAAGTTCGCCGATGTTGACGACGAGAGCTCCCGGAATGGGGGTAACATCGACCCACTGGTTGTGATAAAGTGCTTGGAGGGCGCCGCCGGAATCGTCTTGAAGAAGGACGGTGAGAAAAGAAACATCCTTATGGCGGGTGAGGGCATAGGTAAGTTCTGGTTGTGGACATGGTGGATAGTAATTGCACATCATCATCATAAATTCTCCAATACCAATCTTATCTTTGAGATAGCTTGGACTAAGTCCAAGCCCCTCTGATAATAATTCAAGCAACAAATATCCCACATTCACCGCCTTTTCAAAGTACTCCAACGAAATTTCCCTGCAATTCCAATATGTATATCGTTAGAATCAGCTAAACGATATATAGGTATTATGGGAAAATAAATATAGAACAATGATTTACTAAAACGCTTCCTTTGGTCCTAATTATAAAGCAAAAATTTTAACTCATTTTGATATTAACTTGTACCTTATGATTAGACCAGTGAAAAAAAGGGTTGAATTTTACATATACGAAATTTCATTAATAATAAAGATAGATATAATGATTTTGCGTACCTGTTAACCTCAGGTAATTGATCGGGTGTTGGAGGATTAGGGGACATCCGGAAAACCAAAGAATCCCTCCAACCAGCCATGGGTGCGACAAAAAGGTCATCGCAACTGTGATAACTCACTGGTTTTGTTTTATCTCTTCCGTACCATTGTTTCTTAACCTCGGTGTCTTGGTCAAAGAATCTGTGTGAACCTCGTATAGCTTCCTCCAGAACGCTGTTCGGAATCCCGTGATTTATAACCTGGAAAAAACCCCATGTTTCGGATGCATCTCTTACCAAAGCAACGATCTCTTTTCGCCTCTCCTGATCGGTGTGGATGCCTTTCATGTCGATGATGGGTAATTCATGGGCTAATTCCAGGTTGGTGGGAAGCTGGTTGATGGAGTCTGGGCAGCCATTTGGATGGTGGAATATCCGGGGAACTTTGGTGATTCCGGCGTCGACGAGGCCTTTCACACCGGCTTTTGTTTCATCAAATGCTCTTAATTCACTCATTCTATCATATTCAGCCTCCCCACTAACTGTGGCTGCCATGTTTCTTCTTTGATCTTCTTCTCTCGTTTTATTTTATTTTATTTTTTTTTTAAGCCTAAAGGGATGTATATCTGAAGCTGGTTTTATTGGCAAGATTTCCACTATATAATATGGCCTAGCTATTTTGTAGACAGCTATATTTTGATCAAAATGGAGTCAATCATCTGGATCTAAGTTATCATTTATTTATCTTTTGTTTGCTATCTCCACTATGAATTAACTAACAGCAAAATATTTATGTTTTCTTGATCTGATTAGTTGTTTGTGGAAAACACTAGTATATCCAAAATCCTACAATAACTAATAATTTAATTGCTGTGAATTTGAATTTCCAGAATACACTAGCTAGTTCTCTCTTTCTTCTTCTTCAAGAATTTCCATCCCAAGGTAATTAGGGTTTGAGCTTCTTCTTCAAATTCTCGCAAAACTCTCGGATTCTCGAGCTTCTACGCTAGTTCGAGTTATTACTTGATCCGAAATCCAAAACTTAGAGACTGTTGTTTGAGTGCATATACGAGTGACTAGTGATCATCACGAACTAAAGTCCAAATGCCATGTGCCCGGTTAATATACATATTGATCAGACTTCAGGGCGGTTGTTCAACTTGATTTATTAATTATGTATTCCCTCCTGTTCTTATTGTAAAGCATTTTCATTTATTCTAAATTTTATCTAATACATATTTTTAATTAGAAAAGAAAAACTTTAATAATATATTTACACATTCGTTATGTTCTCTTGATTGTTAGGAAATATTTTTAAGATTTTTTTACTAATTAAAAATACGTATTAAGTAAAGCCTAAGACAAATTAAATTGCCTTATATTAAGGACCGGAGGAAATATTGAACAACAATGTACTATTAAGTAACTATTCAAGTTAGAACTGTCATTTAGTAAACTAATCTATATTTATTTGAGAGATTCCTTTATGTAACAAGTGGATAGGTTACACCAAAATATATTACGTATTATTATTATTTCTTTTTCTTTCCCCTTTCCTCATTTTCTTTTACAGACATTATTGGATCGGGATCCCGGTTCAATTGTTTAATTATGGACCTGAACTTCGCATGTGATTTTCAACTACCAAGGTTATTGAATTGGAATTTAAAGTGAAAGTTAATTTTAATTTGTGCCAAATAAAACAAGGTTGGAGAAAATATACATTCGAAAGACATATACAACTAAAAAATTGGCAAATAAATGACACATTCGTCAAAAAGCTATACTGTTGTAGTCAAGTTAGCAAAAAGGAATAGCTCCCAACGCCTTACAACACAGTTCACTCATTTCTCTGTCAGCTGGCGCTACAAGGTCCTGTTATCCTAGAACAAACGAACTTCCCAATAAATCAATCGAAATAATGCTTTGAATTCCATGATTTGAATTGCAAAATGGCCTTTTGCTTTTAATGTGTCCCGACAATTGGATTTTGTTGGCTTCAGCTCCCCAAAAACACAATGCGAATCATGCACAAGATTCCCCACTTTGCCACATGCTATTATAAATCCACGTAAGAGTTGAACTAAAGATTCCCCACTGAAAATAAGTAAATTAATTCTTTAACAAAGGAATTAATCCAATAGATATTTTAAATTTTAACTTGTCTTCCCAAGAGTCGAACTCGGAACTTTGAGATTACAGTTTGTCCCATTTGTTGTCCAATAACATAAAATGGCCTCGCAGCTGGGCTGCATACACGAAATGAGTGGTTCTCACGTGCCTTAAATTATTATTCCGTTCTTCAAATCGATTATGTTTATTGCGAATATACTTTAGAACAAGTTTTCCATCAATCTTTTCACGGAGTATCATGTCATAGGTTCAAAGACACGGAGAGCTAATTAACTTCAAAGCTTAAAAGGCAGCAAAGCAGAATTTCCATCAAGCCCTTTGCCATAGAAGTGAAGATAAAGTTCCTTCATTGTAGTTGCTCTTTATTTAGGAAGATTTTCCTATGACAAGAGTTCCTGGATCGGTTGGATCGTGGCGGCTGAATTTTGTCCGACACTGAAGAAACACGGGACTGACGTTCTTGGACCAGTTAACTTCCCAACTACCCTATGTTCCGGGCTCTTGTACTTGTCATTCGATACAAGCTGAAAAATTCATAAAGGCAATTCCCAAATTAAGTCACCAAAGATGAAGAAGAACACTCTCTAATTTGCTTAATTGCGTGAAGAAAATATGAAAAATAGAAGAGCCAATGCATTTAAATTCTATTCGCCATATTAAGAATGATACAGGCAGTAAAAATGAAAAGTGACCATGAAAAGACAGAAAATGAATAATTATATATATTCACACATGTCACATCAGTTACAATTATCTTATATTATCTATTTACTCATGTTCTTATTATTAGGCATTTTGATTTCTTATAAGTTTCATCTATCGTGTTTTTATAATTGAAAATGAAACTTTAAAAATAATTTATAATAATTAGAAGAGTACAATAAATGTGGAAATATATTTTTAAGATTTATGAATGAAATTTATGATAAATCATAAGTTTTATAATAAGGAACTGATGGAGTATTTTTTACTAGACGTATCATTTACATTTGCAATTTTAAGGATTATAAAAATTGAAAGAATTACAATATGGTAGGGTTAATGAAGCATTGCCTGTAGAAGTTCGCCGATATTGACGACAAGAGCTCCCCGGAATGGGGATAACGTCAACCTTTTGGTTTTGATAAAGTGCTTGGAGGGCGCCGCCGGAATTGTCTTGAAGGAGGACGGTGAGCAGGGGCGGAACTCTTTAGGGGCTCGGTATCCCCCCTCCCCCGACCGGCCGGAGACCTCCTTAGAAGTAGTCACCGTTAACCATATGTCAGTTATGTTCGACCATCTATTTTAATCATGATATGTAGTTAGCCTCTCCAAGTGCGAGTAGCTAGTTCCGGTGAGGAAATTAGCATCCTTGTGCCGGGCAATGGCATAGGTAAGTTCTGGCTATGGGCACGATGGATAGTAATTGCAAACCATCAACAACCATTCTTCAACACCAAAATTATCTCTTAGATAAGTTGGGTTAAGTCCAAGTCCTTATGACAACAACTCGAGCAACAAATTCCAAGATTTTTCGCCTTTTCGAAATACTCCAGCTAAATTTCCGTGTATTTGCAAAGGGTGGATTGAATCCCAATACTTTTCTATTCTAACATTTTAGCAAAGGCATATATATATATATATATATATGTACTCTGACTTTTTAAGTTTGTTTCATTTTTTAGTGTGTGTTTTAGATGTTTTTTCTATTGAGAATGTAAAAGGTGTGTTAGAAATGTAAAAAAGTAAACTAAGATGGAACATTTATTATTAAAATAATCCGAACAAACCATTCAAAAAAATCAACAAATAGAGCCTTAAGATAAATTTATAGATATACTTCATCTGTCCTAAAATAATTATCCAGTAAAAAGTATAAACTAGGCAATAATTTTGCGACGGAATAAATTATAGTGTACCTGTTAATCTCAGGCAATTGATCAGGAGATGGATGATTTGGGGCCATGCGGAAAATCAAAGAATCCCTCCATCCAGCCATGGGTGCGGCATAAAGGTTAGCGCAACTGAGATAATTCACTGCTTTCGTTTTATCTCTTCCATACCATTGTTTCTTAGCCTCAGGTTTTTGCTCGAAGAATCTTTGAAAACCTCGTACCATCTCCTCCAGAACGTTTGATAGAGTCCATAAATTATGCTTTAATTGTTATTATTTTATGAGTTTATGGACTTGGATGGTTTTAATTCATTAAGTTTTATTAATGTTTTGTGTTAGGAGCTGGGAATCGGAGTTTACAACTTTTTGGAGCTAATTGATACAAAAAGAGTCTGAAAAAAATCATCCAACTTGAGCAAAGGAAGAAGTTCACTCCAATAATGGACCTAATTACAAAGTATTGAAGTTGTTGGGAGAAGAAGCTGCTAATAAGAAACTTTATGGACTGAATTTTATCATTAAAGAAAGTTTGGGCCAAATTGAAAGAGAGTTGGAAGTGGAAGGACCAATGCTGCAATTTGTTGTTTAACTTTTGGCAGCATACGGCTGACCTAATTCTATATAAGGCCGTATGTTTTCTTGTTTTGGCCATCCTTTTTTTTTTTCACTTCATCGCACGGCCGTCGTTTTTTTTCGAAGAAACAACAAGAGTGCGCAGCTTTTTCTTTTGGCTTTGGAGGTCAGGGCTGTCTCCGTTTCTCCGAGTTTTCAATTCTTCTAGACTTGGTACTATTTTTCTATGAATAAATTAGCTATCATGTCCATGATTATGAGTGGCTAAGGATTTTCTTTCTGATTCAAAGGATTTATTCAATTATTCCATTATGAGGTTTTGTTCTTAATTTATTGTTCTTCCTATGATTTAAGTATTTGTTGATTCTTATATTGAATTATGAAAGTAGATATCACTCAAATTGACAACTTGATTTGTTATTTATTTTCTTGTGCTATCTGCTAGTTGAATGTTACGTAATAGACAAGAACTGGCAGTACTGAGTAGCAATAGACAAAGCATGTGTATTGGTGAGACATTGAATATGCATGTTAGTTTGAATGTGGAATCAATGAGTCAAAGTCTGAATAGTTGTAGCTATCTCAATTGTTTAGATTTTGGTTCAACTATATTTCCTTGGTTTTTATGCTATCATTTTTTGGTATGAAACGCTATCGTGCCCAGCCGAATTATGATAAGGATTAATTGAGTGCTAGGCTTGGTTAGTTAATTTAGGAGATTAATTGATTTATTACGGCTATCCTAATAGATCTTTGGTTGAATGCTTAAATTGCAAGAGTAGTTTTAGTAGCCTATGATTAATGAAATAATTGAGTTATCCGTTCCTTGAGTCGGAAGTTTGTTACTTTGATTTCTTTTCTTTTATTTAGTTTTCGTTATTTGTATTTCATTATCTTAGTTTAGAAAAACAATCCAAAAATCTCCTTTGCATTAATTTGAAGGAAACAATCCATCGTTCCCTGAGGAGACGACCTTACTTCCCTATATTACAGTAGTTTAAAGTAGGTTATTTTATTT